GAAAAACTAGGTATTCTTTTGTATTGCTCGGTATAACTCGGTATTGGTCTTCACATGATGATATTCCTTGTTATTGTTTGGTATTGCTCGGTATTTGCTTGGTATTTCTTGTTTTTTAGCGCGATTTTAGCTCTGGGAGGACACATCTCTACGTCAGGTGGGAGGATGCAATAATTTTTCCAAAAAAGGGCATGATTGGTCTTTAGGGCAAAAAAATATGAGATGATAGCCTAGCAAAGCTTTGATAAGATTGTTTTTGAAATATTTGGATTTGAAAATAGTTTTTCAAGAAGATTTTCTGATCAAATATTTGTTCGAGAAGATTTTTGAAAATATTTAGATAAGTGCAATATAAGAGTTAATTACTTTTTTATATATTAGACTAATCTCAAATTAAACTAAATAAATAAATTTATTTTGATTGAATTTCAATCAAAATATCCCGAGCTAATTTTTCTCGGCAAATCGATGTCCTCAAACTCTAGTTCTCTCTTGTTATTGGGATAATAATTTCATAGGTACAATTGGATTGTACAATTAATATTATTTTATTTTTAAAATTAGATAAATATGTCATATATGGGTTAGATTAGCTATTTTGATCTAAAAATTATATGATTTATATGATAAGTCGATTAAATCAATCAGATTCAGGGTAAACATTTTGGAACTTTTATTTGGTCTGGTGAACGTACGTAGAGCTACGTTCGGCCGACACTAAGATTGCAGGCACAAACGAGAAATACCGAACAAATACCGAGCAATACCAACAATAACGAGAAATACCATTATGTGAAGACAAAATACCGAGTAATACCAAGCAATACCGAGCAATACCGAGTAATCCCAAAAAATTGGATTACTCAGTATTGCTCGGTATTACTCGGTATTGGTCTTTACAGAGCGATATTCCTCGTTATTACCAAACAATATCTAGCAATACCAACCAAATACCGAGCAAAAATCGAGTAACAATCCTCTGACCGAACATAGAACTACGTCCGGTCAGAGGACGTAATAAAAGTTCAACATTTTGACCCCACGATACATAACGAGGGTTTGAATTAGCATCGAGTTAAACCTTAGCCTAACATGTCACCTCGAATTGACATCCTTGATATGGAGCCAAATTCTTTAATAACACTTAATATCTTGGTCATATTTTAATGGATGCAATACCTCCCTTTTTTAATGTTGGAAAACTCACTAATATGGTTGATATGTCATCAAAAAATTATCTTGATCGGGCATGGATCTCAATGCAAAATCAAGTTGGAAACTTTCAAAATTAAAATTGGGATCATTCGTTCTCTGATTTCGGTAAACTTATAGTCGAACTGAGCGTTTGGATAATACGAACCCATCGACACCAAATCCAACCCAATCCGAGCCCAAACGGGTCCAAAAAAAGGATTAGAAGAGCTGTTGGAAGGTTCAAACCACAATTTGGATTACCAAATGGTTTCCAAATATAACGTGTTTATAATCGAATCAAGCGACTTGACGAGAAGAATCCAACGAGCCCAAGATCACAAAAATCGGACATCACTAAGACATTCAAATGTCCATCAAACGGTCCATGATCAAAGGATTCAACATCAGTCATCCATCCGACCACTCCCCCTTTACCCTTGATCTCTAACCTATTTACGGACCATGCCACTCCAGAAATCTATAAATAGACCCCTCATTTCTCTTGAGAAAGGATTCAACCAAGAAGATAAGAAGAGAATAAGAGAAGAGAAGGAAGAAGAGAAGGAATAAGCTCCTCCTCGACCACCGACGGAGTTTCGTCGGACCACTGCCGGAGTTTCGCCGGACCACCACTTGAGCCCTCGCCTTCACCGGGCCAACACTTGAGGCCCTTAACTCCGCTAGACCATCAAGTGACGTCAGAATTCTGCCAAATAACTGTAGGACTACTAACTGACGCCCCAACTTCCAAGTGACGACAAATTTAACACTAAACTTCAACCATATGGTTGACATTTGTAACCTGATCGCCCTCTGGGTCGAGTCAGCCCACTATATTTAATGTAGTCAAAATTCTTACAAAAAATTTAAAACGTAAAAAATTACAACTAGGCTAGGCCTCGTGGGTTTACCCCTTTCGAGGGTTTTCCACGTAAAAAATCTTGTGCTCTCTGTGTACGAGCTGGATATCCATTCAACATTAAAACGTAAAATTACAACTGTATTGACGCGTATATTCTAGCTCGAAACAATGGTCAATTAGTCTTATCACCTTAATTCTTAAGATGACACATGTCCATTCTATTGGTGATTATAATGCACTTCATTATGTAGCTTTTTTTTTATAAAATTGTAGTCAAAATTCTTACAAATAGAATCAAGGAAATCTTATCACTAGTCATGCATTTGATGCAAACAATCTTCAGAAAAAAAGAAGAAAACGTTGCTAACAAGATAGATATGGTAGATTTGGTTTATAAGTTAACTTAGAACTTCAAATATCTGAATTCTGGTTTGTTTTTTTTGTTGAATGATTGATCTAATTTGGGCATTTGATAAATTAAATTACTTTTTTATTTCAATTTTTTCATTAGAAGTAAAATTAATCTAAACACTTCTTTTAAACCAATTTTGAGCACGAAAGGATTGTCGTGGCACAAGGGTAAGAAGTTGTGAGAGAGCCGCAAGCTGCACTCAAAGGTCACATGTATCAAAGATGGGCATTGGGGTTAGGGACTAAAAAAAAAATTGGGGTTTGAGGTGTAAACGAGTCAAGTAATGGCATTATTGAGCTTGGCTTGTCAGTCAGAAAGTCAGCTCAAACTCGAGCTCGAGCTCAAAAGGCGAGCTCGAACTCGGGCTTGTCCCACCGTTAACAAGCTCGACCTGGCTCATGAGTTTCGGCGGTCCGAGTTCTGCAGTCCGCATGTGAGCGGCGAGTTCGAGTCTTGCAATACACACACGTAGGCCGAATCCCTCAGTCACACGCGTGGCTGAGTCGCGCAATCCGCCTCCGCCCAGCGCGGTTCCCCTCATGCCCAATGCAGTCCACACATGAGTCCGAGCGCCTCTAGCCTAGTGCGGTTCACCTTGCACATGTCGTCTGCCTCGAGCCACGCGTTATGACGAATTCGAGCTGGATTTGATTCAAATTTGGGCTTGGGCTTGTGCAATATTAAAAAAATGTTTATTATTAATTTTTATTACTATTCACATATAATAAAAGAATAATTTAAAAATATTAATTGTGATTCGAGCCGGCTCACGAGTTAAGCCTCATCAAGCTTGATCGACTCGTGAGCCCATAAATGAGTTGAGCTCGAGTTGACTTGCAAGCCATCTTAACTCACTTACACCCCTAGTTAAAAACCTACGGAGTTTGTGGATAGCCAAGATGGGCATAAGGTTTGCAAACTACATAAACGGGAGAAGAATGTGATCACAATATAGATTTATTTCGTTATTATGAGGCTAGCTAGAGTTCGCGCCTATGAGATGGCTTTAGATGCCATGACAGAGGTTTATGTTGTGGGTGAGAGATGAATTTTGAATTCACTCATTCGGGTCGCGATTTCAAATTCATGAAGGGCTCTTTAGTTTCAAGTATTAGTGGTATAGAGTAATTCAAATGTTGATGATTGAAAAATTTAAGTGTTATACAGTTTATCTTGATCTGTTGGTTGAGAGTTTTGATTATCAACTGAGAGATCTTGAGTTCGAGTCTTGTATATATAATGTGTGTGTGAGTTTGACTTAATTGACCTAAGTGTCCCAAAAAAAAAAAAAAAATCAAGTGTTTGGTTGGAATAAAAACAAATTTAATGTGATTTTTTGAGGTAATTTGAATTTTCTGCATGATTTATTTTTAGGAAATATTTGATAGAATGGAAAAAATTTGCAAAAATTCAAAGTGAAATAATTTGTAATATATAAATAATGTAATGTATTTAAAGTGTTTAGAGTTTATTTAGATGAGTGTAAAATAAATGAATGTGATTATTTTTTTTATTTGGCTTGAAAAAAGAAAAAGAATGCATTGCAAAGCTCATTGATGATGATGCCTGATGGCTGGAGGTAGGGGTGTCAATATTTGATACGACCCAAAAATTTGACCCGAAAATTTTGAGTTAGGATAAACCCAATCACAAAACGGGTCGGGTTCGGGTTGACCCTTTGACTCGAAATTGATCAGTTTTTGACCCGACAACTAGAGATTAACCCGTTTTGGACTCGAAAAGTGGAGTTTGACCCTTTTTTGGACCAAAAAACTAGCATTTTTTTTATTGACATCGGGTCATTCGGGTTGTGTTGTGTTGACCTGGACCCGAAGCGGGTTGGGTTCGGGTTCGGAAACCGACCCGTTTTGAAAAATCAATCGGGTTCTAAATAGTGTTGGGTCAGTTTAAGGTTCGACCCGAGCCCGACTCGTGACCCGAAATTGACACCCCTTGTTGGAGATGACATGCAATTATAAAATTGATTTGAAGTATTTGTTTTATCTAAATAGAGTAAATTTCAAATGCATTAAAGGTCTATTTGATTTGAAGTAAAATTGCTATAAAATATTTCAAATAAGGAAGTTTTGAAAAATATTTAAAAAAATTAAAATACATGATTTCATATAAAAACAAACCTTTAAATCAACATTTCATATATATACATATATAAGAAAAATAATTTGTATCATGTTAAATATAAATGGGAAATAAAAAAAAAAGACACAAAAATTTTATCCTCAACTTATCCGTATTTATGTCATCTAGAATACGAGTGACCGCCCTCTCCTCTCCATCGAATAAATCACCGCTCTCTGCAAATTCTTGGCAGGAATTAAAACAAATATCCTGCGTTCTTTTTTTCTTTTTCCTTTCGAAAATAAAGTTCGGTGAACATTAATTAAGTTCACCTGGGGTGATGCCAACCTGCTGTCACAGATAAATTACCGGTCCGTAGCTCGCCAGTTATAGGAACACGGCAAAATTCCTAAGGTCATATCGGGAGCAAGTTCTCTCTCTACTGAAAAAACAAAATATAGTACCATTTGGCATTTGCCCCCACCGTCGCCGCCGCTTTCCTTCTCACTACCTTCCCTTCTCCGGCGACGGCGGCGGCTGTACTCGGCGAAGAGGCAGAGAGCCACTTATGAGTGAAGCTATAGATAAGGTGGGAACCATGGAGTTGAAATACCCCGATGACTTCCGTTGCCCTATCTCCCTCGAAGTGATGTCGGACCCCGTAATTGTAGCCTCCGGGCACACCTTTGATCGCTCATCAATCCAGCGCTGGATCGACTCCGGTCACCATACTTGCCCCATCTCTAAGCTTCCGCTTCCTCCCCAATCCGTTCTAATCCCGAATCACACCCTTCGTTCTCTCATACACAACTACACTCCTGTCGCCGGCAGGAAGTGCAATAAACCTCAAATCTCACCGTCGACTGACCCAAGGTTCCTTCTTTCATCCCTTTCCTACCCCGCCTCCAACGCCGCACTTTCTTCGTTGCTCCGCCTCGCCAAAGACGAACCCGCCTTTCGCCGCCTTCTTTTGGACTCGTCAGCTCCCTCCATACTCCTTCGCCACGCCGCCTCTCAGGACTCCCCTGACCTGCAGGACCTCGCTCTCCGTACCCTCATCTACCTCTCCCTCGACGGCGATGACGCACGCGTCGGACTCGTCGCGGACGGTGCCATCGACTCACTTGTTCAAGCCCTAGCCGGCGGTGGACCCAACGCTTCCCTCGCAGCCACTACTCTAACCAGCCTCGCCGTAGTTGAGGTCAATAAGTGCACCATCGGCGCTCATCCTTTCGCAATACCAGCCCTTTCGGTCCTCCTTCGTAACGGCAAGGCTCGAGATCGCCGGGAAGCTGCTACTACGCTGTACGAGCTCTGCAAGTTTCCGGAGAATCGACGCCGTGCGGTGCGTGCTGGGGCGGTGCCTGCCTTGGTTTACTTTGCGGGAGATGGCTCAGAAAGGGCTGTTCTGGTTCTAAGTTTGATAGCGAAGTGTAGAGAAGGAAGGGATGCCATGGCTAATGTCGATGGGTTCGTTAGGGTTTTGGCTGGAGTTTTGGTGAAAGGCACCGGGAGAGGGATCGAGCATGCACTTTTGGTGCTGAACTTTGTATGCTCTGATATTGAGAAGGTAAGATGGGAAACAAAAGAAGAAGGGGTCCTGGAGATTTGTTTGGTGCTTGTTGAAAAGGATGATGGGAAGATTGGGAGGAATGCTTTGGCTTTGGCTAGAACTATTGAGAAGGGAGAATTTGTTGGTTTAATATGAATCGCTGGTTTCCATGTTATGGAGATCTTGCGTTGGTGTTATTGATGGGGGAAGCAGAGCAGCTGGGCTTGTATTCAACCTGTAATTGTTAAATGAGTTCTTCCTGAGGCCCTGCTTTGAAAACTACTGTATAAAAGGTGATGTTTTCCTTTTGTTTTGGGCTCTACCTCCTCAAGGTCTGTAAAATTGGGATAAATAGTTCTGTTAATATTGAAAAAGTCATAACTTGTTTTCGTAACAATTTAAACTCTTTTCATGGAAGCAACCAAATTTACTGTGCATATTCCTTAAATGCTGCAATTGAGTGGCTACTTCACCTTCCGATTTACATCTTGATATGATTGAGGGACTTGTTTTTTGGTTGGAGTTTCTAGGTTATTCTGGTCCAATTAGCGATTGATCAACGAGATAATCATGGAGTCTAAATTTTATTGCTAAATATTATTGCTTTGGTTACGTACCCTCGATGTTATGGGCACTCATCCCCACCAAATTATTGGTTTTTTGTGGAGTGGATGCACTATTGACTATAACAACTTAGACCGTCATGTGTTTTTCTTTGTAACGTTGGCATGCCAAAAGAGTAAAAAAGGTCAGTGTTTTTATCTCATTTTAGTGTATAACTTAATTACTATCTCATATTTTAGTGTAAAAGTTGGTATAGCTTAATTACTATCTCATATTTTAGTGTATAAGTTGTCTATTGGATAATGCAATTTTGATGGAAGTAAGTGCGTCTGTCAATAGGAAAAGTTGTTTGGAGTTTTGCAGAAAAGCATAACATATGCGAACAATTATGGTTATAGATGTCCTTGTGCTAGAGGTTTATTGAAAATAGATTATTCTTTACCCAAAAAAAAACAAAAAAGTGAGTTCGGCTCTGCAACAAGGTGGGACTCGATTTAACAAGTGTTAGGTGGCCGTCAGAAGGCTTTTTTTTATTCAAAAAATCCTTCTCAAATGAGTTGGCAACCAAAGATGAAATTTTCTTGTGTGGTGGGTGTGTGTGCAAAGGATTTTTCCGTTTCTGATCTTATAATATACCCCTTTAAAGGTCAACGTTATGCTTTCTGTTGTGATGGTAAAATACTAAATGGCAAGCAAAGTATTTGATATGGTGCTTCAGACTCAAATTTGGGTTGTCTAAATTGTACAATCTAGTATTCATGTCCGGAGGTGTCCTTACCCATCAAAACTTTATAAACTTTCCTTTTAAATTTGAGTTGTCCACAACTTCTACTGGTTCTCATTCTCAAGTATTTGGTTTGATACTCTAAGTTTCGAACTTGTGCTATTGAAATGATTTTTTATTTTTTTTGGGTTTTTTGAACCTAATTGATTAAAAAATGCAATGCACTTTGTATACTGCACGCTAGCTAGCTTGTGTGTGATAACTGTGATTTGCAGGTCTACTGATGATTTTGATTGGCTTTCTTTCTTATACAATCTTGATACAAATAAAACATCAACAGGTGCTACTTACGAAGTATATTTGACAAATGCATTTATGACAGGACTTGGCTATTTAATTGTGGTCTAATAAAAATTTTTGGCTTGTATTAATTTTTTAGTTGATACCACATGCATGAGGATACTTTTCAATTGGGGTCACATACTGCATCAGTTGCTTTGCATGCCCTTCCATGAGGAAAATTATCACGTGCGGAGTCCGGATTCATTCGGAGACGAATCCGTCTGCGCCACGTCACCCGTGGCCTGATGCATCCAGGCGACATGGCGCGTCCGGATTCGCCTCTGGACGGTCCGGACACCACACGTAGTAATCTCTCCCTCCATGAAGACTATGTTGTAGAGCTTGATGTTGTTATTAGTAAGTAGCATAATAAAGTGTTCTTTATTTTTCCTTATGGAGGGTAGTTTATAACTGCTTCTTGTGCTAAGTGGACAGATCATTTCTCCCATCTTTCGTTTTTTTTTCTCCTAGGTTTTGAGTAAAGGACCTCTTCTAATTTGTTTGCTTCCTTAAAATACTTTTTCCTATATGGCCCCATCTCTTTATGTTCTTATGCTAATTAGCCACAACAAACATCATTAAATTGATATTGAATATACTATCAATTGTTTGATTGAAATGCATGCTTCAAATTTAACGCAAATACCGCATCAAAATTGTTCCCAGTATATTTCATCTAAAGCTAATCACAATTAATTACCATTCTTGCTGTGTGCTTCAATGTGATGAATTTTTAAATGAAATGCATGATTCAGCTTTAACTTAAATAGTCCTTCATGTTATATCCATGTTTGTAATTCAAATACTGACAATGATATCAAACAGATTCCAAAAGTTTAAACAATTTGGATAAAAAGGCGATATGAATATGAAGACCAATTTTTTATCATGAGCTTTTTCATGCATACTCTTCTTCTTTTTTTTTCTTTTTGTGAAAGTTGGCATGCATACTCTTCTTAGGGATACTAATAATGCTTACAATATATGATTGTTTAAAGAAATCTTTAAACATACTTATATCTATGGGTTTTGAACAGTCACATGGAAAGTATGTTTCTAATTGTCTAGGTGGATGCGATGGCTACTTTGTAACTCTTTTTACTTATTATTTTGTGATACTTTGACCATTTTCAATTGTTTTTTCTTAGGAAAAAAATATAAGAGCATAGACTGGTAAGAGGTTTTTTGTTGCTTTACATTTCATAAACAGGGATTTCTGCGTCTCATGGGAGCTTGCCACCTCAATCATGACTTGGACATTTGATTTGCTTGTTGTTGGAGTTAATTTGCCCTTTTTCTACAGGAGCGCATTTGACTTGTTGGGTAGAGTTCATTTGATTTTTTTGAGTTGCATTAGATTTTGCTTCTATTGATTGACCACCATCATCATTGAAATCTCTACATGCCAATATTTGCTTATGGTGACCATCAAAATTTGCTTTGAAAAAATTATTATTATTTTGGCATCCTTGTTGCTAGCTCCTAACTTGGAGAAGAAAGATTGATGGATATTATTATGCCATGGCTAGTCGCAAGACACATCAAAACTAATTTAATTAATCTAAATTTGAATTTTATTGTTGCCAGAGCATTTTTTGGAAGTGCCTGTCATGAGCTAACCCATTTTTTATGAGAAATATGCAAGGGTGGGCTAAGACATCACCCACTTTGGCATACGAAATTTGCCACAATTTAACTTGAGTGTGGTGAAAAATAAGTAAAAGTGGGATACGACGACACACTTAAATGTAGGATTTATCTCAATCATGCTCGCCAATAATTGGTAAGAAATGTTTAGCATTCATTATAATGTTTTTTGTAGTATTCATATAATCCTAGGAGAGTTTTTTTTTTCAATTTGAAAACGTATAAAATCAAGGAATACTAGTCACAGAATAATTATAATAATCTATGGATTGATGAGGTGACAGAATAATAATCATAGAATAATTTTATTAGTCTATGGATTAATGAGACGATATGAATAATAACTTAACTTGGATCATTAATGTGGCATGAATTGAGTAAGGAATGTGGAGGATTGCTAGGCTCGGTGGAACATTGATGGAGGAAGAATTCATGTTAGTGGAATTGGTGGAGTTGATATTTCTACATATACCAATGAGCATATTGGTACTTCTAGGATTTGATGTAGGATTCATGATGCTATGGAGTTTGATATTGAAATAGAATGAGAGAAGTTATACTTGATTTTGTAGCAGCCTATGATTTTGCAATAGCTAACTTATGCTTTAAAAAAATGAGAATACTTGGTTAGTTACAAAAGTGGAATCACCAAATCACAAATATATTTCTTCTGACTTATAAATCAATGCATAATCTACTTGCAAAAATTATAGTATGACTCTAAGAGATAGTTGACCACATAATATACGATATTAGCTTTGTATATATTTTTTAAATATAACTAGAAAGCAATAAAAAAATTTGGCTCTGGGGATGGTGGAATTAGTAAGGCGAGAATTTAGTAATCTTTTAAAATAGATTGTTGAGAGATGGAGTTTGAGATAGAAATAGAATGAGAAAAATTATACTTGATTTTGTAGCAAACTATGATTTTGCAATAGTTAACTTATACTTTAAAAAAATGAGAAGAATACTTGGTGGCATAATCTACTTGCAGAAGTGGAATCACTAAATCATAAATATATTTATTCTTACTTAAAAGCAATGCATAATCTACTTGCAAAAATTATAGTATGGCTCTAGGAGATAGTTTGACCACATTATATAGGATAGTAGTTATGGATATATTTCTTAAATATGGCAAGAAAGCAATAAAAATTTTCGGCTCTAGAATAAGGTGGCGGAATTTGCAAGGTGAGAATTTATTAATCTTTTAAAATAGATTGTTGAGAGATTTTGGAATTCTTTAGTTAAGCAAACCTAACATGGGATAAGATGGCTACTTTCATTAAGAGGATTGTTGTAATAGATTTACAAATTTAAAAATCGATTATGCACTGATGAGAAGAATTCATGGTGGAGTGAAGGGATGTTGAAGGTTATTAAGGAAAAGAAATTCACTTTTTGATGGTGGAAAAATTGAATTAGATTGTGGCTTGTTAGGATTATACCAAAAATAGAAGTCCTACAAATAGGAGTTTAAGCAGCTACAACTTTTGAGAAATTAAGGTAAATAAATTCACTTTTGATGGTGAAAAAAATGAATTACATTGAGGCTTATCAGGATTATACTTAAAATAGAAGTCCTGCAAATAGGAGTTTAAGTAGCTACAGCTTTTAAAATAGTGTTGGAAATTGAGAGCCCCTACATTTGGTTGGTTTGAAACTTGTTTCTAGCATTATTACATCAGAGTGAACCAGCCCAAATCTACAGGAAGGATTTATCTGCTCTACATGCATGGTTATTTTATTTTTCATCTTTGCATTGCTTTTATGCTATGAATTTTGTTCGGATTCTGAAAGAGCAAAGCAGATAGTTTTCTAGATTTTGTTCCAGTGCCACGCGTGGTCTGCAATTTGGTGGATATTCTGTGAAACTGAGAGCCATTACTCCCATATGCCACAGCCTTGGTATGTTAAAACTTCCATTTAATTGAACCTATTTGTTTTATAGCTGTAAACTTTTTATTTTGGATTTTGAGTGAATTTAATTATAAACTCACATATATCTTTATACACTATCTTGAACCGGTAACCTCTTTGGTGGAAGCTGAGGCGAAACTCTCAAAGGCAAGGCTTAGGTGGGCATCGTTGACTACTCTATTTTGCAACTTGTTTTTGCAGAAACATTTAAATTGGCCATTAATGATGGCGCAGTGA